AAAAAAAAAAAAAAAAAAAAAAAAAAAAAAAAAAAAACATCATCCTCACTCCCTTCTACTCTGAACAGCACACCAGGTCTCCTCTTGCCTCCCTCTCCCCCACTCCTCCCACCCCTACCCCCACCCCCACCTTATTGGCTCTCAGCCCACAGGTCCCTCTGACCTCTCCAAAACCCTGCTTCATATTTTTCCTATTTCTCCCCAGATGTTACACTCCGTCTCTCAATCTCCTCTCCCACCACCCATTTCCTGGTTCCTGTATCCCCCGCTCTCTTCTCATCCCCATCGGCCCCTCTCTTTTGGACCACGCCGCTCCTCAAATCTTCTCCACCCCTGACTCTCTATGTCACCCCTACTCTGGTTTCTACCTCTGCCCCCAGGACTTCAGTCCTGAGCGATGAGACAGGGGAGGAAGTGGGGTGTGGGGAATGGAAAATCCAGGCGGAAGGGAAGAGGGTCAGGCAGACCGGCTAGGCTCCCTAGGTATCTCTGTCAGAGCCCCGCCCAAGCTGTGCGGCCTGGCCCATATAAGTGGCTCCTGGCCTGACACCGAGAACTTAGTGTCTGCTGCGCATCTCTGTGTCACCTCCATCGCCACCTCCTCACGTGGGTCTGCAGGTAGGAGCACCTTCTCTCCCCAGAGCCTCTGCTCCAGGCAGGGCCCCTTGGCTGTTCTCCACCTACCTGGCTCTCAGCTCCGCTCCTTTCTCATCTCTGATTGTCAGTAACCAGGAACCTTGCTCTCTCCCAAAGCCCCATCTTCCCAGTCTCACCTGTCCAACCTGAGAGGTACTGAGTTGAATTTAGAAATTTGGGGGCCCAGCACCCAATCTCCTAGTCTGTTTGGATTGGCCCATCCGAAACAGTACATTTCTCTTCATCTCTGAGCCTATGGCCCTCTGTGAGATTGACTTGCAGAGGCCAAGTGCTTGGCGCTTGTGGGTGTCACTAGCAGTGTCTCTGTGGGCACCTGGCTCAGAGCTCTTCGTCTCTGCCACACCTGTCCCTGTCCCTTTCTCTCTTTGTCTCTCTCCAACTCTGCCTCTGCTCCATAAAGAGTCCTCTGGGGTCTGTCGGGCAGCTGTTAAGATGGGCGAGTTGTTCGCCCCACCCTTTCCATCCTAGCCAACAGGCTAACACAGCCTCTTTCTCTTCAGCTCTCTTCCCCGTGAGAGTCCAGCTCCCCCAGTGCCCTAGTCCCTTGCCCTCCCTTGCCCAGTATCCAGCGTCCCTGGGACAGACCCCGTTGCCGTAGCTGTTGCCGTAGCCATCCCCTGCAGCCGTTCACACAGCAGCCACCTCCTCAGGGCCAGCGAGATGCAGTTTGAGATGCACGACAACGTGAAAGGCAAAGGTGGGATCACAGGATGGACCAACAACCTTTGGGGAGCCAGGAACCTGGTTGCCTCCCTTCCCTGGGCACCCTGGCTTCGAAGATAAATGGCACCTGCTTTTACCCCAGAGACCCCTGAAATGCTGGAGCCCAGTCGTGGAGGAGAAGGAGGTGGTGGTGGCAAATCTAAGCAATGCCCAGCTGTGGTGCCCACTTTTCCTCCCAACCTTAGTTCAACCAGATGTATAGTTGGCAACAGCAACAGGGACAGACTAGGGGTGTTGATGACCAAATGGAAGGGGTATAGCGATGTTTCCTCAAGGGGGCGGCCAAGTGGCCTGCCCAGACTGCCCGGCAGAAGGAAGGGTGGCAAAGGTGCCATGGCCCAGAAGGGCCTGCCGGGATGCCTGTTGATCCTCTTTCCTACCTCCACAGCCATGTCCTATCCAGTGACCAGTCAGCCTCAGTGTGCCAATACTTGCTACCAGACACAGCTCAGCGATTGGCACACAGGCCTCACCGACTGCTGCAACGACATGCCCGTCTGTGAGTGTGCCCAGGGAAGGTGGGAAGGGGCGGAAGCTCACCCCAAACTCGTCCCAACCCTTTCTACACCTTTCACCTACCCCTTTGTGGGGCTCTGATTGGGCCCTTCTGCAATCTTCACTGCCTTGGATCTCACAATCCAGCCCTCAGCCTCCCTCTTCAGCAGCTGGTCCTCCCCACCGGACCCTGATTGCTTTGGGTCTTTGCCCCCTTCTTTACACCTGTCCTCCGGGAACCCTCACCCTTCCTTGCCATCGTGTGTGCCCTCCCTGAGAGCAAGCGCAGCACGTCCCGACCCTGACTATTCCGCCCTGTCTAGGTCTGTGCGGCACTTTCGCTCCGCTGTGCCTCGCCTGCCGAATCTCTGACGACTTCGGGGAGTGCTGTTGTGCACCATACCTACCTGGAGGCTTGCACTCTCTGCGCACGGGCATGCGGGAGCGCTACCACATCCAGGTGCGAGCCAATTCCGGACCACCGGGACTGAGGACTGGGGACCCGCCACCTGGCACCCCAGAGCAAGGTTTCTGACCCCTATCGATTTCTTTCTTTCCCACCCTCCAGGGCTCCGTCGGGCACGATTGGGCTACCCTCACCTTTTGCCTCCCCTGCGCCCTCTGTCAGATGGCGCGGGAACTGAAGATCCGCGAGTAAGAACGTCCTCTCCCCTCTCCCGAGTCACGCCTGGCCTCTCAGGAGATGGGAGGGGGGCACTCCTTGGAAAGCCTGTCCCACTGCCCTTTGCCACCGCCAAAAAGTACACCCACAATAAAAACCGGAAAACCAGCCCCGCCTACATGCTTTTTATTGTCGCGGGGAAGGAATCTGGGTGCAGTGGGAGGTTGAGTGAGGTGGGATGCATGAAAGATGTCTAGGTGTATCAGAGAAGACGGGTTTGATGGGACAGGCCGCATAGATGACGCTGCTGAGGCTCCCCTGTAGGCGTCTCACAGAGTGAAACCATTAGCCCTCAAGCTGCAGATGGCCTATCTGAACCTCTGCCCACATCCTGAAAATAAGCAAAACAAGCAAGCTGGTCTTGGTGCCAAAGCCTGATGTAATCCCAGCAGGATGCTGAGGCTAGAAGTTTAAGAGGCACCTGGGCAACCTGGGATGCAAGGTATGAGGCCATCCTGAACTACATACTGCGACCCTGCCTCAAACAAAAAAAGCTTTTAAAGTGAAGGTAGAACTTAAACTCAAACCAGACGGTGGTGGCGCATGACTTTAATCCCAGCACTGGGGAGGCAGAGGAAGGCAGATCTGAGTCGGAGGCCAGCCTGGTCTACAGAGCAAGTTCCAGGACAGGCTCCAAAGCTACAGAGAAAACCTGGCTCGAAAAACAAAAAAGACTTAAATTCTTCAAACAATGTTGTCCCTGCTTAGGATCTATAGACTCTTTTAAAAAAAGATTTTTAGGCGAGGCAGTGGTGGCACACACTTTGAGGTAGAAAGCGGGCAGATCACTGAGTTCGAGCCTAGCCTGGTCTACAGAGCTAGTTCCAGGACAGCTGGGACCACACAGAGAAACACTGCCTCAAAAAAATAAATAAAAAGTTTAAATTTTTTTTTTTATTGAGAATAGGAAAAAAAAGTTTCCGCCTCCTCCCAGGCTCCCATTT